ATATATATATATATATATATATATATACAATGTTACTTGTCCCTGATTTTCCTTATTAGAGTTTCTAATTATCACACCATACCAGGTGCATAAAACATTTGAGAGTGTTCAGTAGTTATAGTGGTCATTTAGCATCAGTCTTGTTTCAACATTATCTTGTAAGGACATAGAAGTCTTCAACAGCACTTGTAACAGAAAATCCGCTCTGATAGACCTAATCACGCCTATTCTTGGAAGCATTGTGAGTCTAGGCATGAGATCTGACTACAGATCTGTAATTAAACCAAAGGTCAAAGTCAAGTATGATCATAGCCTCGAGAACTCCTGGTGTTAATCTGCTTAACTGACCTGTCTATCAGACAGTAAGCTTCTTTTTTGTACGGGTGCTATCTTTAAAGCTTCTTGAAAGCACAAGGATAAATTGCATGACAAGGAGACACTTTCATTCATTTTTAGAGGATTTAGTGGTAGATTTAATAGTGAATAGAGAGTTGTTTGGCACACACTAAGTCAACTTATAGAAAAATCACAAATGAGATCTCAGATGTTGTTTTTTTTTTGTTTGTTTGTTTTTTTGAGAAAGAGAGAGAGAGAGAGAGAGAGAGATCCACTTCCTTAGGGATCTCACAAGGATGACTTAGCTTTTCAGAAGAGAGCTCGACATGTCATATATTATGCTTAGATTTGTCAAGATAGTAAGTCTGCAATTCAGACATTTGGAGTTGAAATTAATAAATAATAAATTATTTGGCCAGTGTCATGCATATTAATTTAATCTCTTATATGTCATAAATTGCCTCGTTTATTTATTTATTTTATTTTTCCTAAGGAACTCTAATATGATGTCTGAGATAAAAAATCTGAAACAAAGTGAAATGTTGTTTAAGTAAAAATTATATTACATTATATTAAGTCTACAAAGCTGTATAAGACCAATGTCTGCAAAAACTTAGAAATATGCTATTTTCAGAAATTAGAAAATAGCATATTTCATAGCATATTTAATAGAAACAGTGAATTTCTATTATGAAACAGCCTTTAACAAATTATTCATAGTATTCTACCATTATTGTGGTCTTATACTGGAGATATGGCTGAATAAGTGGTTTGATGGTAAGTTGCCTGTGAGGCAGGTTCTTTGCACTTTGTTCCTGAGATTTCAAGCTAATTTTAGACCAAACGCGCCAGCGTTGTGGTTACATAAATATCTTCCCACTTGCCTTTAGTTTAGTTGCAACAAGCGGATGGGAGTCCCCCTCTGTCTCTCTGTACAGGTATTATGAAACTCTGCCTTCTGTAGCAGCATTCAAATTAGCTGCAGTTCCTTCTGGGTATTCACATTTTTAGTTGGGATCTTACACAAATGATTGTATCAGTCACTTTAACAGCATAGTATATGGCTGTATATTTCAACTTCCAATCCACTGGAGTATTTGAATCCTTCAAAACAGCTTGTAATACCCAACTGTTACTTGTGTACCTAGAGGAATCCTGTGGCCTCTATTACACCAGCTTTAACCAGGGTGCTGCCAGTATTTGTCTCCATTGGCTTACTTAGTGTTCTCTCACATGACACTGTCACTTCGGCTTAATTCTTATTTGGCTGCTGAATCAAGATAACACGCAGGCTTTTTAATCATACTGATTGCCAGACCATTTAAACATTTTTAAGTCCATTTTTTTTTCAATCACAGTCACACGCAGTTTGTCTTCCAGACAGTTCTCTTTGTCTTCTCATCAACCATTTATTTCACTAAGGATGATGCTCAGTGTCAGATGGCAGTATGCTATTGATAAAAAATACTATGCTTTATTTGAAGGTTTAGTATAATCGCATAGCTGCTACAGTATATCCAGTTCACAGCTTTTCTTTTTACTAGGGCTGGGCAATATAGCGAACATTAATGATTTGTGCATTCTTTTGCCTTTAGCTGCCCGAGGAATAAATCTGCATGAATTCCTGAGGTTTGATCATCATGCTGATTTGGTGATAAATATCACAATGCATTTAATTAACTTTTATTTGGGCATTGGCTTCTGTGATCTGTGCGTGTAACGTATACCTTGTTGACTGCTAAGACATGTTTTAATATCTATGAACTTATATATTTTGTTAGTTTTGATTTAATGAAATTAATAAAGTAAGGTAATAATGTATACTTATTTTATATTACCAGGAATATGGATTTGTGAATCAGGAAGGTGGTAAATGTGCACGTTTACCAATAATGACTATTCAGAGTTAAAACACATTCAATATGCATACAGCTTCACCAGTTTCAGGCAAAGTTCATTTTATGATCTTTTTATGAATCAGAAATTAATCTAAATTATTTCATCAAACTCTGATTCGAATAATACTTAGCATTATCGCTTAGGAAATGTTCACTGGAGTCTTATGTTCAGTAAAACTATCATTCAGAAGTTTGGGGTCAGTAAGATTTTTTTTTTTTTTTAAGTTTCTGAAAGAAGTCTCTTATGTTCACCAAGACTGCATTTATTTGTTCAGAAATACATAGAATTATTGTGAAAGATTATTGCAATTTAAAATAACTGGTTTTGATTTTAATATATTTTAAAATGTTTTTTATTCCTGTGATGACAAAGCCATTGTAATATGTGTGCCTTATGTTCATTCTGCACTGTTTCATTGTGAAAAACATTGTTGAAAACATGCCTTGACCTATTGATCAATCTATGATGGTTAAGGCCCTGCCTTGAATACTTTTACTTACTTAAAAATACATTTTTAATATGCTCGGCTACATTTGATGTTTGGAAAACAAAAATCACTCATACTTTTTTTAGTTATATTGCCCAGCCCTGTCACTATTGTATGCAAGTAAAACATCTATGGTGCTTTTAAGGAGTTTTAAATGTTTTAGTTCTTTGTGACTTATTTTGTCTCTGTTTGCAGATTCCAGCACATCACTCCTCTGCAACCAATGTGAACGGCTCCTCTGAGACTCCCCAACAACATAACAACAGTGTGAGCCCTGAAGGTAAACGTCCACCCGCTATGAATCACTGTCATGTCCTCACTCACCTTGGATCTTAGTGTGTTTCAAGCCTAGAAGTCCCCGAAGGGCATTTCAGGGGCCTGACAAGGTTTGGCGGTGAAAGTGCTGACACATGCCACTCTGTGCCACATTTGCTCAGGCACTCCACCACACACTCTCCCACACTTTCACACACTGTGGTGGCTGTGTATGAGCAAACGTCCCTGTATGAGTCAGAATGACCTTCGGCTATTTGTCTGCCTAGTGCTCTGACCAAATTTGAATTGCTGGATGAGGATGTTGGTGGTTTTACAAAACATCCCTACACTCATGACTTTTCACATGAAAACATTTTTGATCATATGGTAAGAAAATTATGTTCTTTTTAGTCTGATATGTTTCATGTATTGGTTTGTTCCCTTTAGTTAATGGAAACAGGAACCTTGCTGCTTCCACTATTTTGGATAAGTACAAAATTGGCAAAGTTATAGGTGACGGGAACTTTGCTGTGGTAAAGGAGTGTGTCGAACGGTAAGAAAATTACAAGTTACAAAATAATTTTAAATGTTTTTTTTTTTTCTGTTATGTTCTGTCAGAAAAAGATAAAATAGCTCTTCGGGGTCAATAGAATTGTGTTGTATTTTGTTTGTTCTCCCTTCTAAGTTGGTTATTGTCGTGATCTCTGATTAAAATACATAAATAATACTGTTCACATCTAGATTCGGTTTTCCTGTTTGTGTTTTTAGGCTAGAATGCTCAAAGGAAGATCTCTTGTGCACAAAAAGGACATCCAGCTTATAAATTGGTTCCTGAGGAATGCACCCAAAACGGACCTTCATTAACCTCCCTGAAACAAAGTCTATTGTTCTATTTCTTTCTTTCCACAGATCCACTGGAAAGGAGTTTGCACTGAAGATCATCGATAAAAACAAATGCAGAGGCAAAGTGAGTTGGACTTTACAGACTTTTTGTGACACCAGCCAATGGAGAGAGTGAATTGAGACAATACCAGCTGTAAATATTCCTTACCAGCCATGAAACTATTTTGCATTGTTTTTATTGATAATACATATATTTTGTCCTTATAATGATGCAATTATAGCTGTTTATGAGTTTTGAACACTGCCTGAAAGGTTGGGTTATTGCAATGCAAATTATTTAGGTCTCGGTGGTCCGTGAAATTTTTTTTTGGTCCATTTAATATGGTTGATTAGATTATATTTTATGTATTTCCATTAATCCAGCATGCTGCAGTTTTTGCAAGTCATGGGAGAAAAGCTGACCAACAAATGACACCCAATTTATCCTAAAGGTGTTCAATGGCATTAAGGGATTTTGCACAGACCAGTCAAGCTCTTCTATACCAAACTCAGTAAATAATGTCTTTATGGATCTCCCTTTATCTACTGGGGTTAGAATGGTAAAGTTCCTCCCCAAACTGTTGCAACAAAGTTGTAATGCCATTGTATGCTGCTGAATTTTGATTCCTTTTCACTGGAATTACTGGAACAGCAAGACCCATTATTTAGAAGGGGTGTTCACATTCTTTTGGCCATATATGAATGATATGTAAACAGCAGTTATATTGGTGGCCAATGTCTCATAATCTAATTTCAGTCTGTGTTTTAACCAAGGAAGTTGATTTCCTGTTTGCCTGGTTTCCTGCAAGAGAAAACCTCAGGAATTCATGCAGATTTATGCCTCGGCAGCTAAAGGCAAAAGAATGCAGAGAGTTGCTGTATAGTTGGGAATTTGTTGTGACACATGCTTTGAACACACAGGAGCACCTGATCGAGAGTGAGGTGGCAGTGTTGAGGTGTGTTAAGCATCCTAATATCATCATGCTGATTGAGGAGGTGGATACGCCCACTGAGCTCTATCTAGTCATGGAACTTGTGAAGGTACTGTTTGTTAGTCACCTTATACACTCTGATACAATCTATACATTTCTCAACATTGCACACTCTGCTTCTGAAACTTCTGAACTTTATAATTACAGTATATATAATTCTTTGATTTTTAATATATCATTTGATATTTATTTTGTTTTTATATCAGACACTACCATTCAAACTACCATTGGCATCTGTAAGATATTTCTGTGATTTTTTAATTTTTTAATTTATTTTATAATTCTTTGATGAAAAGCATTTATTTGAGATAGAAATTTTTTGCAACAATATAAATGTCTTTTTAACTTTTGACCAGTAGTTTATGTACAAAAAAACTAAACTAAACTAATAATATAATATAATATAATATAATATAATATTGTATTGTATTGTATTGTATTGTATTGTATTATATAATTTTCACAATGAAATAAAATCCCCAAATATAAAATCAGATATAAAAACACCCTGCATTATAGGAAAGTTAAATGCATTACAAATTCTGTGTATTGATGTCAGCAACATTGCACTAAATGGCCGCTTTCGATATTGATCAAACACTTAGCCCATATAAAGGCCAAAACATGTTACCTCTGGGTGAAAGTGTGTTTTATACAAAATACAGGGATTGAGATTTTTAGTTATTTGTATTGCCATCTGTGTGTTTCAGGGTGGAGATCTGTTTGATGCAATCACCTCCTCGACAAAATACACTGAAAGAGATGCTAGTTTAATGGTATTCAACCTGGCGGCGGCTGTCAAATATCTGCACAGAATGTGTATCGTCCATCGAGACATCAAACCTGAGAATCTGCTGGTACGCTCATATACGCAGTCAAACATATCCTCAAAAGAGACATTAAATATACAATATACAGGTATACAGGGGCGGTTTCTCCATTAGGGCGATTGGGCGACGCACCACCAAAGCGCGAAAGGGAGGGATTTTTTTCTTTCACATTCAACCACAGTGTTACGCTAGCTTTCACTGTTTGTTCTGCCTCTAAATAGTCCAATCAGCGTCGAGTGGCGTTTTGTGTAGTACCGCCCCTTTTTGGGCGATTTCTGTCAGACTTTTTAATTAATATAAGTAGTCCAGTTTCCTTTACATCTTTAACTAGCCGTTAATTTATCAATTGAATGGGTGACCTATCCTCATTAATCATGCAAACATTTGCCCCCCCCCTAAGAGAATTGGCAGGAGCCGCCACTGCAGGTATATACACCTACACATTCTGCACAATGAGACAATAAATCTGAAAATACTTTAGTTCACACATCTTTAACACATACACAGCAGTACAGAAATACAAAACCTGTGAAGAAAACAACTTTGCACTTTGTTTGTGGAAAATGACTTAAGGTATGTCAAAAGGAAAAAATGTAAATCCGGGTGGATAAAAATAATCCTTTTGCCTTTTTCACTATGTGTTGTAGGTGTGCGAGTACCCTAATGGTATAAAGTCATTAAAGTTGGGTGATTTTGGCTTAGCCACAGTGGTTGAAGGGCCGCTTTACACTGTTTGTGGAACACCTACTTATGTTGCCCCAGAAATCATAACAGAGTCAGGGTAAGAATCACTGACTGTTTTGTTTTCATATAAGCATTTTTTTTTTTTTTTTATCGTTTATTATATTAATTTATTTATTATTATTTTTCTAAAGTGATGGCATGAATAGCGTTTTGCGATTCGGCGCGAATCAGTTTTCTAAAGTGTTTTTGAAAAATCACTTACTCTGCCTTTAATAGCCTTTAAAATACTGGGGGCTGAATGTTATTGACTGTGTCTTTCTGTCTGGGCATCGCCGCAGATATGGGCTAAAAGTGGACATCTGGGCAGCTGGAGTAATTACCTACATCCTCCTATGTGGCTTTCCACCTTTCTGCAGGTACCACAAGATAGTACCTGCTCAGTCCTTCATGTTAATAATCTACAGTGTTTAAAATCTAATATTTAGTCTCATATTGTTCATATTGCTCATGTTTTGTATGTATTGTTCTCAGCAGTTGTTAAACATTAAATATATTTTTTTATTGTCTGTGTGCTTGGCATTTGTTTTTGTAGTGAGAATAACCTCCAGGAGGACCTATTTGATCAGATTCTAGTGGGGCGTTTAGAGTTCCCATCACCCTTCTGGGACAATATCACAGATTCTGCTAAAGTGAGTGGAGACAAACACACACTGACAACACTTACAGGAATAGTTTGCCTAAAAAGTCGAAATTGTTAGAAATGTACACACCCACGGGCCATCCAAGATGTAGATGAGTTTCATTCTTCATCAGAGTTGAGTAGCATTAGTAACATTTAGTAACATTAGTGAGTGATGTAATGCTAAATTTCTCTAACTCTGTTCTGATGAAGAAACACAATCATCTACATCTTGAATGACATGAGAGTGAGTAAATTTGCAACACATTTTCATTTTTGGCTGAACTATTCCTTTAGCATGTTTTAAACACACTGTCTCACTCTCACCCATTTACCTTAACATCCTTCATTCTTTATGCTATATTCTCTGTCCTGACTGCACCCTACTCTGTTTCATCCTACTCACATCATTATATCATCTCATTCACATCCTCCCCCTTTCACATTTACAATATTATATTTTAGATGTATTTATATATAATATATTATTTTTTTTTAAAAAGTCAGATTCTGTTTGGGCCTGAACATAATCCAGAAACGTTAGATCATTAGGGCTCAGACTAAATGTGTCACTAAGACTAATGTTTTACAAACTAAATTACAAACTAAAAGTCCTTTTCTGACGTTTGGATTCACTGAAGTATGTCCTCACTTACCATAATTCCTTAACTTAAAGCACAAAGATTTAAAATAACGTCATTAGGTTATGTAACGAGACGCTGCATCAGAAACGCCTCTGCATGACCGCGCTTTAAAGCACGTGTGAAATCAGTCCAGTCGAATGGCGAGATGTCATAGGCGGGATGATGTGGTGACCAGGAAGCTTAAAAGCACATGCAGCAATGTCTCGTTCCCTTAGGGGAGCCATGGTTACATACGTAACCTATTCATTTTTGGCTGAACTATTCCTTTAGCATGTTTTAAACACACTGTCTCACTCTCACCCATTTACCTTAACATCCTTCATTCTTTATGCTATATTCTCTGTCCTGACTGCACCCTACTCTGTTTCATCCTACTCACATCATTATATCATCTCATTCACATCCTCCCCCTTTCACATTTACCCCATCCAGCTTTAGAACGTTTTGCTTGCTGGGTTTCTAACATATTATTCTGCACTGAATGACAGAATGTTTGCTGTGTGTGCAAATGTGGACAAGCAGTCCTAATATCAGATTTATTTATTTATTTATTTTGCGTACTTAAACATTTTTAGATCATGTTAATGGTCTTTTCCTTAGGGGAGCCATGGTTACATACGTAACCTAGAGACGTTCCCCTTCAGGAACTTGCGCTGCATTAGAAACGCTTTGGGAATGAGAAAACTCACTCCGCCATGGTTACAAATTCCTGCCTAGTGTGGAACACTATACAACTAGGATGAGAGAACAGAGGAGCCAGGAGTGGCTCCCATGTCAAGGTTGTAAAACCTGACAAACGTAAGTGGGGTGGACAAGCCTGCAGTGTTACAGATGTCATGCATTGACACCCCAGAGAGAAATGCCTTGGAGGCTACCACACTTCTAGTAGAGTGTGACGCTCTGACCCCCAGGGGTGAAGGGAGGTTAGTGGACTCATAAGCCAAAGATATTGCATCCACAATCCACCGACTTAAGGTCTGCTTGGTTGCCGGGAAACCTCTCTTGGGACGGACCAAAGTAAACAAATAACTGGTCAGACTCCCTACGCAGGGAAGCTCTGTGGACATAAGCATCCAGTGCTCTGACTGGACAAACAAGATTAAGCTTTTCCTGGTCTGGGTCCCTAAGGGTAGGAGGACAGAAAGCCTGCAGCATAACGGGCCGTAGAACCACGGTGGGCACCTTAGGCACATACCCTAGCCTAGGGTATAAGAATGCCTTAGCCATACCAGGTGCAAACTCCAGAAAAGAAGGGGCCACAGAAAGGGCCTGAAGGTCACCAAATCTCTTAAGGAAAGAGATGATGAGTAGGAAACAGTCTTAACTGTAAGGAACCTCTCCCGAACCTCCTCAAGGGGTTCAAAGGGAGGATTACAGAGAGCTTCTAGGACCACGGCCAAATCCCAGGACGGGACTCTAGAGCATGAAGCAGGCCTCAGCCTTAACGTGCCATGGAGGAAATTTGTAACCAACGGGTTTCTCCCCAATGACTGACCACCGAGGGGGGTGTGGTAAGCAGCTATGGCTGCCACGTACACCTTCAAGGTGGAGGGGGCTAACCCTGCGGAAAACCGTTCCTGCAGGAAGTCCAGCACTGAACCAACCAGGCAATTGACTGGGTCCAGCTGACGGATGTCACACCAAGAAAAGGTTCCACTTCAAGGAGTACAGTTTCCTTTTGGAGGGAGCTCTGGACTGAAGTATGGTCTCAACAACCTCAGTTGAGATACCGGAAGCTATGAGCTGTGCCCACTCAGGGGTCACACCCACATTTTCCATAACTTCCGGGTCAGGGGTGAAAGAATCGAGCCCCCCGCCTGAGAGAGGAGGTCCCTCCTGACGGGAATTTCCCATGGAGAGCCATCAAGAAGGGCCACCAGGTCTGAGGACCATACTCAGCCCGGCCAGAACGGGGCTACTAGCAGCGGACGAACGGTGCACACTCTCCAGAACTCCCAGGAGCAGAGCAATTGGATAAAATGCATACAGATGCAGTCTCAGCCACGTCTGTACCATAGCATCCAGTCCCAGAGGAGCTGGGTATGTGAGGGATAACCAGAGTGGACAATGTGAGGTCTCTCGTGATGCAAACAAGTCCACTTAGGCCTGGCCGGACACCCTCCAGATCTGCTCCACCACCTCAGGGTGGAGCCTCCATTACCCGGGCCTTGGCCCTTGCCTCGAAGGGGAGGGAGGCATCCGTTGTTAGCGTTACGCGATGACAAGGAGCCCTCAGCACCGGGCCTTGAGACAGGGGCCAAGGCTTCCTCCACATGACTAAGGCACGTAAGCATCATCGTGTGACCTTGATCATGCAAAGCAGGTTGCCCCTCGGGGAAAACCCCTTGGTTCGAGGCCACCACTGCAGGGGTCTCATGTACAGCAGGCCAAGAGGTGTCACGTTGGATGCAGCCGCCATCAGACCCAACAGTCTCTGAAACTGTTTGACTGAGTGACTGGCCTAGCTTCACCCTCTTTGCGGCTGTGAGGATCGACTCGATTCGAGCAGGAGACAGATGTACCTGCATCGTGGTCAAATCCCACACATCACCCAGATAAGTGGTTATTTTTTGGAGAAAGCACACTTTTCTTGGCGTTCAACCTTAACCCCAGCTCTTTCATATTGGCGAGGACAGCATCTCGATGCCAAACAGTCATCTGCTCCGATTGAGCTAATATCAACCAATCGTCAATATAATTGAGCACGCGAATGCCCTGGAATGCCGCACACTTGGTAAAAGTGCAGGGTGAGAGTGCTAGGCTGAAAGGAAGAACTTGATATTATAGATGAAGGATGTCAAGATCCTTTAGATCTATTGTGACAAACCAGTCCTCTGACCTGATTTGAGACACGATCTGTTTAAGCATCAGCATTTTGAACCTGAACCTCATGACTGAGCAGTTCAGCTGACAAAGCCCTCATCCTTCTTTGGAGCAATGAAGTAACAGCTGTAGAACCAGGACTCTCACGAGAGAGGAGGAACACGTTCTATGGCCTCCTTCCTCAAGAGAGTGTCTACTTCCTGTTCCATTACCAGAGCCTGCTCGGGGCCCACCAGAGTGGGATTGACCCCATTGAATTGAGGCAGACAAGAACCAAACTGGGTTCTATAGCCTCTTTATACAGTAAGAAGGACCCATTGAGACACATTTGGCACAATTGGCAGAAGTTTCCACGCTGCCAGATGGTCTACTAAGGCAATCAGTCTCTCGAGACTGACCTCTGGTGTACTTTGAGCAGTCAACTTGGTGCCCTGAAGCGGATGACCAGCAGGGAACGACCAAGCTGACTGCTCTAATAACCTCCTTGGAGGATGCGCGCCTCCCAGAGCCACTATGTTTCCGGGCGGACAGTGAGAGCTGTGCTCACTGTGAGACTGCTGTGCCCTGAAGCACCGGGGGTGATAGGGTTGACAGACCGATCTCCTGAGGGCACTGAGGAGAGACGGGCACTGTATAATGAGGTGTACACCGCTCTTCCCCAGAGGGCCCTGCCCTCAGAAGTCCAGTGCCACAGGCGTCAATACTTCTTGGCCGAAGCTTTCTTGGTGAGAATGATGGTCCTCAGATCAGTCTTCTGCCTCAAAGACTTCGACCGGGAGCACCGCTCTGGTTCCAGCTGTTTTTGCGGGGTTCTGATCCATGAGTGAGAGCGCTAGATCTGGTGGGTGAGGGCGAAGAAAAGGACAATCCCGTCTCTAACCCCTCCACAGGTGCTTTTAAGCTTCCTGGTCGCTATGTCATCCCATCTATGAGGTCTTGCCATTTCATTGGACTGATTTCACACATGCTTGTTCCCAAAGCGTTTCTGATGCAGCACGAGTTCCTGAAGGGGAACTATTTGTTTTCTGTCTTTTTGTGTACCTTTTCTGTTTTTATGATAAAATGTATTACATTTTCTTGACATCTGTTTATTGAAAATATGATCATGGTGTGTTCGCACAGGAGTTGATTGGTCACATGCTGCAGGTGAATGTAGAGGCCAGATACACAGCAGAGGATGTTCTGTCTCACCCCTGGGTCACGGTAAATGTGTGTGAAAAGGTTTAGTGCTGTGTGTATGTGTATGTTTTTTGTCAAGTTAGGTAATGCATGTGCAACATTACAGTATCAGATTTCTATTTATAAGATATAATGTACCAAAATGTGGTATGATTGGCCACAAGGGATTCACTTGCATACTTACTCATAAAACATTATTTGTGTCATTTGAGCTGTATTAGAAGTGGTTTTGATTTATGCTTCAAATTATTTTTCAAACTGAAACCTACAATTTAGTCTGAATGTTCTGGTGAACAAAGTTATATTGCTCACCGTTAGATTGGCCTATCCTAATCCACTTCAATAACCAACAGGAGGATTCTGCGATGGAAAACAATATGAAGATGGAGGTAGCAGGTAAACTCAAAAAGCACTTTAACTCTGTGCAGAAACAGAGCAACATTTCCCCTGGAGTCTCTGTTATTGTGGTGAGCACACACACTCACACATGAGAAACAGTCTGCACATCATAACTGCAGCTGCTGTCGTCTGTTAATATGCTTTGCTTAAAAAATAACCAATGTCATCCTCTCGGCCCCTGATGATTAGTACTTGGATTACACATAATTCCAAAGCATAGCCGTCACTGAAATTACAGCCACTGTGGACACCAGCATCAAATCAATCAGTTTGTCTCCCTCAGCACTCATGACTTACATAACTTCTAAATCTCAGGAAATATTAGAGATTATTGTATTGTAGCACAGGACAAAATATGCCAGAGCTATAAAATAGGACATGACTTTAGAAAACAGCACATCAGGTGCAAGTAAAAAAATCAGGCTTCATTTCTCCATAGAAATTAGATTTTATTTTAAGTGATAATGTATAAACCTGTCAACACAGACATGCCACGAGTAACATGATTTCAACTTTTGAAAACCTCTTTAAATATGTTCAAAAGCCAAATTGATGGTTAAAAACTACCGTACACTCTCAGATTGGTACCTTAAAGAAGTACCTAAAGTGTACATATTAGTACCTAAAAGGTACAAAAGTGTACCTTTTGAAAAGGTACCGCCCCAGTGACAGCTTTTGCTAATTTTTTTCTGAGAGTGTACTACCCATAATCCATAAATCCATGAGAGAGCCAACCAAAGACTTATATATTTGTATACATTTGAATATGCTGTTTTTATGCTTATATTCAATGACTATAAGTCATTAGTTTTCTATTGTAACTTTTTTTTCCAAATACATAATACATTATACGGTATGTTTTTAATGTTTTTGAATAAGTCTTTTATGCTCACCATTTACTTTATCAAAAATATAGTAAAAACAGTAATGTATTACTATTTAAAATAAGTGTTTTCTATTTTAATATATTTTCAAATGTAATTTATTCCTGTGATGCAAAGCTGAATTTTCAGCAGCCATTACTGCAGTATTCAGTGTCACATGATCCTTCAGAAATCATTCTAATATGCAGATTTTTATGCTAAAAAAAAAAAAAATGTAAATACAGGACCAAGCCCATTGAAAAAAAAGTGAAAAAAAAGTGTTGCTCTCTGTAGAGCCTGAAAATTGCTGAAGGACTCATTATAATCCTTTTATTGCTTGATAGAATGTGCTTTATGAGCTCAGAGGGAGACATGGAGACATGGGTGAAGCATTTTCAGCCATTTCCACCCCCATGTCTTATTAAATTTCCATCCCAGTTCACTGCGCCATAAACCCCTCACTGCCAGCCTTGTCTTAGTTCTTCTCACTGTCATTAAGGTGTTTGTCTCTGTAAATGTGTTGTTTTCAGTGTTGTCACTGGTCTTCACCTTGTCTACATTGTCACGATCAAGCATACTACCTATCATTCATTGTTTGTACTTGAACCCATCATGCAGAAAGGAAATTTCATTTTTGATATTTGAAATTAAGACCTCAGTATACATTTAAATAACTGCTAAGTGGTATATTGAATATTCATAATATATTTGCATTGATTCTGCTGGAGATAAATTATATTAGTGAACATTCTGATGATACTAATTTAAGCGTTGTATAGGAGGCATTTGTTTATGGCATTTTCCTGTATAATACATTGTTAAAACCCTAAGCTTTTTTAAAAATCTATGGTCCTTTTTTGTTAACTTCACTGCTTGAAAAAGCAGCAGCAGCAGGGACTCTGGCTGAATGGGCATTGATGTGAATCTCATTTGACAGTTTGAACTGTAAGGGCAGGGCTGTACAACACCCCTTCCTTGCTCTCCCAAGACCCGAAGTGATGTCTACCACTGGATATTGGGTATTTGACTCCAAACCTAAACCTCCTTTTAATGAGCTTGAGTTCTTTGACTACACTAAAATCTAGCCGTCTCTGCACTCTGACTACCTCTTATTCACTCTCACTGGGTTTTTCAGCATTTGCTGGTCCTGCATCTAATTCTAGACAACAATCATACCATACCTCATGTCCCAACCATAATCTGGTCCATTTTTTGTCTTTTCATCTTCTCATTCCACTCCATGTTCATGGTGGCTCTCTAAATTAGTTTATTGATGTGATATTCGGTGCCATATGGATTTGTTGCATTATTGCTGTATATCGTTTTCTTTCTGGGCTTTAGCTGGAAGGTTTGTATTAGCGTGCATGCAATACTGACTGCTTGTAATATTAACACTCCAATTCAATGGGTTCTCTCTCTCTCTGTTACCTAATCCAGACATAGTCTATTTCATGGCAGCTGGCAAACGTCCCCAAAATGAGCCTCACTCTTAGGACCTTGACCATTGCCATCAAAATTTCAAAGAAAGTGTTTTGATAATATGAAAATCTGCCATCTTCTGGCAGTATTGTAATATAATAATTTAAATTAATAAATCTAATGACCGGGAGAGAGAGATGCTTAATTATGCACAACAATTGCCTTGGATGAAATATTTTACTGAAAGTTTTAATTTAGTTATTTAGATATTTTAGATAAAATGGGGATTTTTTTCCCTTTTAATTAAATTTGTATTTTATTTTATTTTAAAGCCAGTATATGTATATTTATTAATAGGGTCCAGACACGTCCTATTTGTTTTGTCAGCTTTCTTTTCAATAACTGGTTTTGTCTACAGCTGAGGAACGTACCAAAGAAACCAGATCATGTCACAATTGAAAGGAATAGCTCACTCCAAAATGAAGTTTTTGCCAATTACTCACCCTCATGTCATTCCAAATATACTGAAAGAAGAGTTTTTTTTTAAAGAACTGTCACATGGATATTTTCCATACAATGACAGTTCTTAATAACCGTGGTCTGTCAGGTTTTACCAAAAAAAAAAAAAAATCTATATGACTAATTTGCTGTATTCCATGTGTTCTGAAATGATAGCTTTGTAATGACCAGACTAAAGTTGATGCACTGATAATCAGCTCTCAAATTAAATATGGTTCCTATGGTATGTATTTGACGTCAATAATAACAAATGACATTGGTTCTCATGTCTTGTAAGCAAACTTGCAGCATAGACGCAAAAAGTAATCAAATGCTTCAGAAGAGAGGTATGGACTATATTTACATGCATTTATATTGCTTTTTGTTCTTTTTGGAACTTGACAGCTTGTTTGGATAAGAAAAACAGCATCATGTGTGTCTGGAAGCATCTGAGGGTGAATAATGTCAGAATGTTCATTTCTGAGTGAACTGCCCCTTTAAGTGGCTATATCTTTGCTTCAATCAAGCAAGCTGAGTGTTTCTGAAGTAGTCCTTGTGAAATGTCTCTCAGCTGAAGTGTTAGAGGTTATGTTAGTGTTGTGTATGAATTTGTGCTGTATGTGCTCAGTGAGTAAGACTAGTCTCTGTCCTCTGCTTCTGCTCTCCCCATGGCATTGCTATCCTTTGACTAGCTCCAAGGCAATGGTATGTACTAACACTAACTGCTATGCTCCTCCCTCCCCGCCTCTGTCTCCTCACACATACACTTTTATACTGGGAGAAAGTGACAGTAACATCACTGAAGATGATCATTTTCCCCTACAAGACATGGAAAGTTGGCAGCTTAGAGAATTCTTGACTCGCTTTAATCCCGTCATGAACTTCAGTGGTGTTTTTCACTCTCTGCCATTTTCTTTTACTGCGGTGGTCTTCTCCCACCTGTGATGTGATCGATAGTATTGACTTTTCAGTGAAACCAGGTCATGTATATTGTCTTCTATATCTTAGTTTGAACATGTTTCTTCTTACAGAAATGGGGAAAAACACAGAACAGCTTGCTTTATTTCTTAAAGGGATACGCAAAAGTGAAAATTCTGTCATCATTTACTTACCCTCATGTTGTTCCTGCGCCTTTCTTTCTTCTGCAGAGCACAAAAGATGATATTTTGAATGTTTTAGTGTCATTATTCAGTTAGAGCAGTGGTTCCCAATCCTGGTCCTGGAGAACCCCCAACACTGCACGTTTTTGGTGTCTCTCTTATCTGACACTCACATTTGAGGTCTTGGAGTCTTCACTAATGAGCTGATGAGTTGAATCAGGTGTGTTTGAATAGGGAGACATCTAAAATGTGCAGTGTTGGGGGTTCTCCAGAACCAGGATTGGGAACCACTGCGTTACAGTGTCAAACGAGAGGCAGAATGTGTATTTTTTTTTTAATTATTCATTTTAGTCAAATGCAAATACTGATGCTATTGCACGGATGCTAACTACTTATATCTGTGGTGTCAGCACTATTTCTGCCAAGGGAGACTAACACCAGAGACACTTTATATAGTATGAATCCAGATTTTTCTAGAAAGGGGGCTGCCATCATGGTAGTTTATCAAGATTGTGGGACATTTTGGAAATATTAAAAGGCTATATTTAGATTAATACACATATTTTAGATTAATATGTCAAATCTGTAAGTTATCAGCATAAGACCCAGACTGTAATAAAGTGTGACAAAGCAGAAATAAAGCAGAGATTTAGCAACATTTCTGAAAATTAATAAGAACTCACCATGCACCCCTCAGAACAACCATCACCTGCAATAACCTTTACACTCAGAAAGTAGTTTAAGTAGAATTACTACTTAAGTAATTTTAAAAAGTGGGAACATTTTTGGAAAAAAAAAAGGGAAAAAAAGTGGGAATAGATTTTGTTACACATGAAATTTAATTGAAAGCTCAATTAAATATATATTTAAAAAAAACAAAATATAACTTAACTGCACAAATTGTTTTCATCCTACAAATATGCAAAATTGTTGCAAAGTTGCAAACGCAAATGAAAAATGACCCTTTAAAGCCAAGGTCACACTACATTTTGACCACGTGAAATTTCTGCAACAGTCATGATATGACGTCACTTTCTTTAAAAAAAACAACGTAATTCAACATATATATGCATTCGCATAGCATAACTCCCCATTAACTGTTTTTGTCCAGTGAAAGTCACCTTGTCTTGTGGACCAAAATATATATATATATATTTTGTGTTCCACAGAAGAAATTTAGTCATACAATTTTGGAACAAGATGAATACATGATGACAGAATTTTTATTTTTGGGTGCACTGTCTCTTTAAGATTGAAATGATCTCTCTCTATCTTCCTCCCAGATCATAACTTCATCTCACTTACTCTTTCCCTACTGAATTGTTTTCAGTTTCCTTTCCATTTTTGGGTGGGTGCACATCATGTGAACATTAACATATTGTGTCTCTCCTGTAGAACACAGCTCTAGATAAGGAAACCATCCAGCTTTCTCGCCGGCGTCAGGACCGCAGCCCCCCTCCTCCAGGAAAGAGCCCTTCCTCCACCCACCCAGAGAGACGACGCTCCCATAGGGGACGCTCATCTGTCCAATCGGAGGACTCTAGGAGTGCTGCTCCCATTGAGCCTTTAGCCTCAACAACCCCCAATGCACCATCAGCACCTCTGCCCTCCCTTCACTCTGCCCAACCTCCCCACTTCCCAGAATGCAGTGCTGAGGCTGAGGTCAGCAAGGGCCTGCAGAAGAAAGAATAATACTACTTAGGAAAACAATATGGAGACAATTTCAAATATAAATGCATAAATACATAAATAGCAACTCTGCGAATCTTTGAAACTTCAAACTAGCTAAAAGGCTAGAATACACTACACGACTTTTGCCCCGATTTGTACAGTCTGGACGAGTACATTGTCCAAAGTAAGAGCCAGTCTGCAGATTTCACAAAAAAAATTGTGTATGTTGAGCAGCACAGACTACAATGTCTTTAGTTACAGATTATGATTCCACCAGTTAAGAGAATATCAAACGTTGATATTTGAGACGATTATAGAACACATACAGTATATTTGTGTGTCTCCTTGCAATGAGGTGAGTTTGTTCTGAGTGAGTTTCTTGTGTTTGGAAAGGCTTGAAAGCAGAGTTGCCAGGTCTGCGAAACAAAACTATACCAGTGATTAATCAAAAATGGGCCAAAACTAGCCCAATAACCCTATCCCAAATATCAAAACTTAAAATATGCCTAAACTAAATTTTTTACAGTTACTGTTATGCGATATACACAATTTCAACTTGAAAGTCACCATGCAGTAATTATAAACAATATGTATTCATGTAGGAGCTCAAATGTTCCCTATAGTTCCCCTTCCTCAGAAAACTTAACATCCAGCACAGTTTATAAAATATTTCAATATAAGCATTTCAGTTAAATGTAAGAAGATATTTTGAAGAATGTGGGTAGAGTCTCTGGTCCCCACTGACTTCCATATTATATTTTTTCCGTACTATGGAAGTCAGTGGGGACCAGCAACTGTTTTGTTACCCACATTATTCACAATATCTTCTTTTATGTGCAACAGAAGAAGGAAACTTGAGGGTTAGTAAGTAATTGATGATAGAACTTTCATTTTTGGGTGAAGTATCCCTTTAACCTGCAGCAACAGCAGTTCCGCTGGAAAACAGTGGACTTGGTAACCCTATGTGATCCTCAGTCTTTTATTACATGCTGTCTAGTTTTTCTCTCTAACTATTTACAAAGTCAACAAGTTTATGACACCTAGTGTTTTAAAACCTGTTCTGTTTTTAAAAGTCATTTAGTGTAATCCAGCCTTTAACAAAGTACATTCAGAACTGTCTGTATAGTGGTCGTCCGCATGTCTCCATGCTTTCTTCTTCTTCCAGCTTGACTTCCGATTCCAGCACCCAGAGTGGGTTTGAAAACGTAATGTGTGATTGATTGTATATAGGTGCTTTGGATATGAAAGATCAGCTCTGCTTTTGTATTTACTGACGTGAACAGCTCACGTCCCGGTTATGAATAGCTGAACACTTTTTAGGGTGGATCTAAGTATGCTACAGGAAAAAGACTTTGAATTTGAGTGGTTTAAAACCCCGGTTCCGCCTTGGGCACCACTCCTCCTATGTATCCTCTGGATACCTACTTTAACAGGGTGTTGCTACTAGGGGTCTGTTGAGACAGTTCCTTCAGCACATACAAAGAGAAACGTGCGGTAGCCTCTGTGTGACAGGCCAAGACTAGTATATTCTAGGCTCTTGGTCGTATTCCCTTAAAGGAATCTATTTCTGAATCCAAGCCTTGAGCTCTACCCCGGGCCCAGGAGTCTGGCCCCAACAGGTAAGTCTTTGGGGTTTGTAGCCTAGGCCTTTGGCCGTAGGGAATAACGTCACTGACAGCCGTCTAACGTCCCAGGGGCAACTCCCATAGCAATATCGTAGAGTTGGTACTTAGTGCTCGCCATGGTTCTGGCATGCACTCCCCTCAGCATGGTGGCGTGGGTATACCGTTCCCCATAGCGACCACTAGAGGACGCAGTTCGAAGTTCCCATGAAAGGGAACGTCTCAGGTTACTTATGTAACCATGGTTCCCTGAGTAGGGAACGAGACACTGCGTCCTCTAGGTTTCTTGCCATGCTGCGGACGCAAGCTTCAGACGAAGAAGTGAATTATGTGTGCTCCCGGCGCCTATTTATACTGTAGTCGCACCGGTAGTGACGTCATGGCTGTCGCCGGCCAACGAGTTGGTGTTTTTTCAATGTATGCTTCAGACACGGGTCACGACGAGGCGTTCCCCCATAGCGACCCCTAGAGGACGCAGTTCGAAGTTCCCATGAAAGGGAACGTCTCAGGTTACTTATGTAACCATGGTTCCCTGAGTAGGGAACGAGACACTGCGTCCTCTAGGTTTCTTGCCATGCTGCGGACGCAAGCTTCAGATGAAGAAGTGAATGATGTGTGCTCCCGGCGCCTATTTATACTATAGTCGCACCGGTAGTGACATCATGGCTGTCGCCGGCCAACGAGTTGGTGTTTTCTCAATGTATGCTTCAGACACGGGTCACGACGAGGCGTTCCCCATAGCGACCCCTAGAGGACGCAGTGTCTCGTTCCCTACTCAGGGAACCATGGTTACATAAGTAACCTGAGACGTTTTCTTTGAGTGTATGTTTGAAAATAGACTGCTTTACTTTTTGACTCCGCTGAAGAAACACAAGAAAGCAATTCGCATTTGTTGGTGTGTGCTTTCTTAAGAGGGTGTGCCTAGCACTACGGGTCATTTTGCAGTAGTTTAGAGTTGCCTTCATTTGAGCCAGCAAAGCAAGAAATCTGTAGGGATTGTTAATAGTTTTGTTCTTTTGCTAATTTATTTGTACAGATTAGACAAAATGTGAAATTGTATTTTAGAATAGTTTGACATTTTCGATCCAGAGTCATGCATGATATTTTGATTTCTCTGTTGCAAAAGTATTAGATTGCAATCTAAAGTCTTGGATTTGGCATCTATTGTTTCATGTACTCGGCTACTGCTGTACTTGTTATCTCTTTGCTCTCCATGGCACTGATTTCCTGAAACTGTCAGCCTGCAGGGAGTGATTGAACTTAAAGGTATATGACATGATGCACTGCTTTTTTTTGACGTGCATTGGAGGTTTTGAGAAATATGGCAATAGGCCTATTCAGTATCATCTCTGGAAGGCTATTTCATAAATGTCATTTTCTGTTAGTGTTCTTTATCATCACGTAATCAAAGTAATGCAATAAAATTATCTTGCAGTTGTTATCCTTGTCTTGTCCTTATCATGATATATGATTACAGCAAACCTTCTACTAAACAACCAAATAGTTAAAAGTTTTGATTTCTGTCTAGCGATAAAACTGCCGCAATGCAACAGTCGCCATCTGTTGGTTGAAGGACGACACTACATCAAATTAAGAGATTAAAAGGTTCAAACTGCCACAATTTATTTATTTATTATCATGTATGGTCTTTACTAGTTATGGTCTTACATTTGTATAAATTTTTTCAGTCTAAATATTTTACATTGACTAAGATTTAGGCCAGGAGTCTCCAAACTCTGTCCTCGCCTCGGGGCCTGGAAGTTTCTGTGCCTAGCAAGATCTTAATTAGCTGGTTCAGGTGTGTTTAATTAGGAATGGAGCTAAACTCTACAGGACACCGGTCCTCCAGGTCCGAGTTTAGAGACCCCTGATTTAGGCCTTCACACATACCTGTTCTCTGTGGGACTAAAGGCAAAAACAAAAATGACAACTAACAACACATTTGAACAGCAGTTACTGCAAGAAATTGTATTGCATAATAGGGAGGAATTAATTTGTTGCAAGAGACATCTAAAGTGGGTCCATACTGACAGTTCCGGTCACATACCTACTTTTCAGTTTAGTGTGAGAGGTGGCCCACCCGTTTATTTTATTTTATTTTACTTTAGTGATGGCCCTGCATTAAATAGCAGCTTTAAGCTGTAAAGCATTCATTTATAGCAGAATAAGTTGTTATGTGTCCGGATATTATGAAAAGGCCAAACGTTATTAATATTAACCACAAACATTTTGACATTTTATTTTTTCATTCATATTTAATTTAATAGCACTATATATTTTCTAACACTGTTATCGTAATAGACTTCATGAAGAGATAAAAATAAAATAAAATTGACAAGATTTGGAGTCTTTAGACCCGCTGCACTGCAATGAAGATTTCATGAATTTTTCATGGTTTTGATGGGTGAAATTTGACTCACAGGTGAGGGCAGATTCAGTTAAACAATCTGTAGCAGACACCACATTCATTTTATAATTAAACAATATATAATATGGAATACGGGATACTGATTAGAATGAGCTGTCAAATATTGTATAATAATGACCCATATATTGACCTCTAAACAGGATATTTCGCCTGCTATTTTACGTAAACGCAAGTAAGAACAGCTAATCAGCGCCACCTAATGACTAAAATTATTACTGCGATTAAAAACATGGCCTCGGAGAGCAACGGCAATTTTAAATTATTAGCAAGAAAACAACAACAACAACAACAACAAAACATTGACCAGAAAAACAACACACTTGTAAGAGACTTAAATAAGTGGGATGAGAGAGAACTTAAAATAGAGCAAGACACCAGAATAAATAGAATAACAAAGAGCTTCATTATCCATTTATGCTCGCATGCAGAAATTAAGAATCAGAATTGGATTGTCTTTAACAATCTTCCAGCACCGACACAGACACAACATCTAACCAAGGAGTAATAATTAAAAAATAAAACTCAAAAATAAAACTCATTTTCCCATAAGCCCCAAGCGCATCATACGCTATTGCGTCATGGCGTAAACGCCATTGGCCAATTCCTGTTGAGTCGGCCATATTGGAATTTGAAGTCTGCTATACTGTGAACAAGTCGGCAGAATCTTAGATTATATCTCTCAAATACAGTTAAATTTTACCTGTATTCGCAGCGCCAGAGCCTGGCATTGCACCCGAGACCCCGCTGTTTGTAGACGGAGCGCTGTCTGTGTATTTCGTGGGGTAGAAATGAGTCCTACAGACGCTAAACGCGGAGCGAAGCGCAGAAAGAATAAGCGGGGCGGCGGCGGCGCAGGGAAGGCCGGAGCTCCGCCAACACCCTCCAGCGGCACCGCACACGGAGACCCAAGCACCATCCCGAGCCTCAACAGAGAGGTGAGCGGCACCTGGGGCATGCGAGGCGGTTGATGGTGCATCAGAGCTTAAATGCGGTGTAGTTCAGTCCAGATTCCATGATATTGGAGGCCTAGGAGAGCTCCTGCAGCTGATCACACGTTTACATCGAGTCTGAGCTGAGCTTTACTGATCTAGAGATTTAATCTTAAACAGTTCCTGGTCTGATCACAGAAACATGGGAGGAAAATAGTAAAGACGTGTGTAAAGCCTATTTAAAGCGATTTTATGTGGTAGATATGGAAGTTTGAGTGATTTGTGCTGCTCGGAGTGATGCAAAGCTAACTTGTCAAGCGCTGTCCAGTGTTAGCTGATGTGTTTACATATGTATTTCAATAAATATATTATTTTGTTAACCTTATTACATAAAAAGAGGAACAAATGCGGTATTTAGGCTGAAAATATCACTGTTTATCAACCGCGATCCACAATAATGTTATCACGTAGATAGACCTAATGCTAAAGCCACAGTGTGTTCAAATTATTCACATTTCATAACTTTTAACAATGTCCGACTTATTCATATTTAA